CTGATGGATGCAGATTAAGGTTGGTAGCCAGATGGGAAATTCTTTTTGGAAACTGGACTCAGTCTCTCAAACAATGCATCTGATTGCTAGAATACCTTGCCTGGGTGCAGAATTTTAGTTCTTAAATTACACTTTCTTGAAGATTGAATCTTACCGGTGGTGCAGGGGGTGGAACTTTCTTTTTCAGGGCTCTCTGAGGTTTATATAGAGAATTATTCCTTTCTTTCCTGCTTCTCAGGTTTCTGCTTTCACATATTCCCATCCTGTCTCTGAAATAAATGCAAGTAAGACTGGCTTTAAATATTAGCAATGTGATTTTATGTCAGCTCAGATGGGATCATTTAATGGATGCCTTTGGTTATACTTATGATCTGAGTATTCTTCAGGACTGGAATGCCCCTCAATACTTTAAACATGGATTAGATGACAAGATGCCATTAATTTAGTAATACTATTTCAGTCCTGCATAAAAGTGGCCCCAAAACTGTGAAATAACCCTGTTGGGTTTGCAGCTCTTTAGCTAAGTTTGAGGAATGACTGAAAATGTTCAGGTATCAATTTTCATGTGGCCAGTTTAGTTAAAGGTTATGAGCCTAGATCAGGGGTGTCAAACTGCCGGCCCGCGGGCCAGTTTCATCATACCGGAGCCGTGCCCACCCCATTGCCGGCAATGGCAAAAAAGCTCCGATACGTCGCGCGACGTCACATGACGTCACGAGTTTGACATGTCTGTCCTAGATGAGCTGTGGTATGATGACAACAATATGACAACAACTGTTCATAATCTGCTTTTTAATATAAATATTATCTAATCCATATCACAAATCTGAACAAATAAAAAGGATAATAAATACCACTTGTTTATTTCTGGACAGTTAGAACAATTAATCAGTGGAACAACCTGCCTCCAGAAGTTGTGAATGCTCCAACATTGGAAGTTTTTAAGAAGAGACTGGACAGCCATTTGTCTGAAATGGTATAGGGTTTCCTGCCTGAGCAGGGGGTTGCACTAGATGACCTCCAAGATCCCTTCCAAAATTATTATTATTATTATTATTATTATTATTATTATTATTATTATTATTATTATTATTATTATTATTATTATTATTACTACTACTACTACTACTACTACTACTACTACTACTACTACTACTACTACTACTGATCATTGCACAGTCAGCCAGATCTTCAGACTGGATTTGGCATTTTTGTCTATCTATCGAGTTCTTAC